TATCACAGGTGGGGGGGCAATTTTGCCACAAAACTTTCCCCACACTCGCCCATTTGCACTGTCTCCATCAATCACTTCAACATAATCGTACCTAGTAGATAAATTGAAGAAAAAAAAACTTTTAACTTCCAGGGAAGGGGAAAAAAAAGAAAACTAATTAATTTAAGAACCATAGCCATACAGCATAGATAATGAAGAATAATGCTAGTCTGTTTGGAAGCTGTATTATCCTAAAAGATGTGTGTAAAATGAAGAAAAAAAAATTAAAATGGACTACATCATGTCGGTAGACATCATCTGGCGAGATGGAACTATTAGGAAGAATAGCACCATTATGGTTACAGACAATATCAGCTAAAGTAACCAATTAACAAGAAAAAGGAAAACTCGTGAGCACAATACTGTATTATTAAATTGCATTCCTTTGTCTATCGTGGCATTGTTATCAATACATAATACACTAAATTCTTTTCAAATGGTGGTGTTCTTGTCTGAATTCTAAAACATCATTTTGGCTTTAATTTCTGTATAATACTTGTATTCTGATATGCAATCCTGCAAGTGTATAGTCCACAGAATAATAAATGAAGTTTCACATATTATGCGACCTTTATTGCTTTGCTATTTTCTTAATTGTTACACATCTGTGTATTTTTAAACATCATATTACTTAAAATGACTATGATAATATAAAAATGGACTTTGCCTAAGGATTGAGAAGCTCCATAGAATGGTTTGATTCTGTCTCCTACACACAAGCAAGACACATGTATAAAATAATAAAAAAATAAATATACAATAATGAAAATGAAACTCGGCTTCAGCTGCATGAGTATATTAAACAATCCATTTTATCAATTTCCAAAGATTGTAAAATAACAAATGCATATAAAACAGCATAAAAATATGGACTTGCTTCTTGCCAAATCAACTTGTAGACCAATTAGATTGAAACTGTCAATTCAATTCTAAGTTAGCTCCCAAAATTGAAATTAAAAGATTATTTTCACAATTATCTTAAGAATTACATAATGGCAGATTATAAGTGATAATTTATATTATTAAAGACCCCAATTATTCACATAAACACAAAAATGAAAAAAAAATGGTTACCAAATTTCTGAAACATTAATTGGAGACAAAACCCTGAATAATACTAATGTATAGTGGCATTTATCCTGGCTGTTGTTGAAAGGCTAGATCAGTCAGTCCTCATAAATCTTTGTATGGATATTGCCAGGTAGCTCCAGAAATGGAAACTATAGATTGAACAACCTTAGAAAATAGAACATAAATGTCCTAGACCACAGAGACAAAACAAAAGCAACTCATTTTTACACTGATGACAACAAACCTCCCAGAGATGTCCATGAAGATATCAGGAGTTAAACCAGACTCCAGAAAAATTAACCTACTGCTTCTCAACCTTAGAAATTTTAAGATGTATAGACTTGAACTCCCAGGATTCCTTAGCTAGCAAGTTAGGGTTGGTAAGCTTGAGAAACACTGATCCAACCGATTATATCTTAAAGAACTCTACTGTACTGTGGAATATGAATTAATCCCTTTCCCTGCTATTGCAATAATCCTCAGAACCATCAGGTTTAATAGGGGTATAGCCTTTATTGTCACTGCACATCACACACACACACACACACACACACACACACTTTTGTAGATTTTCACGGGTACATGTATGCAGGTTTTGGTGTAATCTTACACGGGAAAAGGCCCAAATACACCAAAACATACATACATACATACGTGTGTGCGTGTCATACATACATACATACATACATACATACATNCATGTCCACCAAACCACACCACGCCCATCATGCTACGCCCACAGTACCAATAGTAAAAAAAAATTGAATTTCACCACTGATCTAATCCATCTTTTGGTCTGACCAGACAATTATCAGTCTGATGTATTCAAATACCTCAGAAACATTGTTCAGAAGATGATAGCTCTTTTTGACTTATTTCCCGGAACTGCTGCTTAGAGTATGTTGTTGCCTATGATTCAGGAGATAATCACATATTGTAGCCATCAATGCTAATGTCCACTGATCTGCTATGAATTTCTCCAGTTTTCTAAAAGTCCTCTAAGACAGCTATGAGAAAAGTGTTTCACAATGAATTCCTCAATTTAATAATGTTTCATGGATATTAGTTATATTCTTCCCTCACTTTGTTTTTAATATGGCCAAGGACCCAATTTTCTCCTCTTTTGCCTCATTGGATGGAAAGTGGATCCATACTCTTACATTCTAAATCATGTTTCACACTCATTCAGCTAATGGTAACTGCCTCCTAAAAATAGGCTGTGTGAATAAGATGTTGGCAATTAACAGCTTGTGATATGGCAAGTATGAGGAGGAACAAGGAAAGTGAAAATATTCTGGAAACCCAGGTCAGGAACAGCAGGAGCAATGGATTTCTCTCTCTGTGTGTGTCTCTGTGTGTGTGTGTCTGTGTGTGTGTGTGTATCTGTGTGTACTTGAATGCCCAAGAGTCTATAGCCGTGATGTTGCCATGCAGCACCCTCTCTATGGGCAGGTGAGCTGTGACCTACTTCAGCTCCGCAGTGCATGGACATGTGCCTCCCGTGGGCCACCTGGTTGTGGGGTTGGTGGGAGAAGCGTGTGCATGTGGTGCGCAGGGCATGGGTGGCGTGGAGCATGTGGGGGATGGGAAGCGTATGCAGGGGCCACACAGGAGTGGGATGCATGTGCACACATGCATTGCATTTTGGGGTTTTGGGTATGCATACTTTGGGCAATGGGTTCGGAAAAGTTTAGCCCTCATTAGTCTATAGCAGTGATGGCAAACCTATAGCACGTGTGCCACAGGTGGCACGTGGAACCATTTGTTAGGGCACGCGAGATGCTGCCCTGTCAGCTGGCTAGCGTGCATGCACGTGCTGGCCAGCTGAGTTCGCCTTTTTTTAAAGCCATTTCTCGCCTTCCCCAGGCTCCAGAGGCTTTATAGGAGCCTGAGAAGGGCAAAAAAAGGCCCTCCTGAGGCTTCATGAGATTCCCTGAAGCCTCCAGAGCGCAAAAAACGGGCAAACTGGAAGTTCGGAAATGGACTTTGGGTTTGCTCGGAGGGTCATTTTGAATGCTCCGAAGGCTTCTGGGAAGTCTCCTGAAGGTCCATGAAGCCTTCGGAGTGCTTAAAATGACCCTCCGAGCAAACAGGAAGTGACTTCCGGTTTGTTCGGAGGGTTGTTTTGACTGCTCTGGAGGCTTCAAGGAAGCCTCCTGAAGGTCCTTGAAGCCTCCAGAGGGCTTCCGGGGGTCGGGGGAGGCTGTTTTCGTCCTCCCCAGGCTCCTATAAAGCCTCTGGAGCCTGGGGAGGGCGAAAAAAGCATGCAAAAAATGGGGGGAGCTCCTGTAGTGCGTGCATGTGCACTGGGGGGGTCACGACTCACGCATTGCATTATGGGTGCAGGACACCCGTACACGACCCCCCCCCCTGCACTCCCTCCACTTATGGCACATGAGCCCAAAAAGGTTCACTATTGCTGCTCTATAGAGTTCCTCCGCATGGATTTATGTAGTGGCCTTGAGCTATCTGTGACATTGTAGGTGATTATAATAATTGCATAAAATATTATTGCATATATTTTATACTGGTTTCTATATAAAACATATCTAAACAGCTTACAAATGTAACAGCTATAGCAGAAATAATATGAATATCATATACAACAAAACAGGAGGGGGAAATAAGTAAACAAAAACAGAAACGAAAACCATTTATCCAGGCTTCCTACAAGAAATACCAAAGAAAATTAAAATATCTAGTATTAAGTGCCTCACAAGCTTCAGGAAAGACTATTTCAGAAAGTTCAGGGATAACACAGGACCAACCACACCCATATACAATTGGCACTAGATGGTTTTTGGCACATGGAGAAGAAACTCCCCAGACTGGGCCTGCAAAGACCTGCCCCAAATTCTTAGGGTCCTTTTTTATGCCAAAAACAGAACCCTGATCTTGACTAATCAGCCAATTGGCAGCTAACATGATTGCTTCAAAATATTGTAATATCTGCCACAATTTGCAACAACTTCAATTTCTGAGAGTAAAAGTACCTCCCTATAGAACACTTCATAGTAGTCTAAACTTAACCAACAGTAGTAAAATAACACCATATATCATCTCTCCATTAGTGCTAACACCATGTAAAATTTATCTCTTTAGCCCACATCAGCAAGAATTTGATGTAAGATCACTGTTAACAGCAGAACTCAATGTTAGCAGGATTAAATTCTGTACCACTCTATAATATATAATTGAATTAACCTTGTATTTTTATACCATTATTTTGTGAATGTTCTGATAATCTTTTATCATGACCACATTCAGCATTGGGTGCGGAATGTCAGCTTAACGACCTTAAAATACAAGCAGAATTGCATTTCATTTGATGGACAGCATAGGAAACTCAATACATTTCTGCCTGACTTCTGATAAAGCCTAATGACGAAATCTGGACACACTTCAAGGTTAATAGTAAAATACTCTTTATATCCTAATTTTAACTATAACATAAAGGTAAAGGTTCCTCTCGCACATATGTGCTAGTTGTTCCCGACTCTAGGAGGCAGTGCTCATCTCTATTTCAAAGCCAAAGAGCCAGCACTGTCTGAAGACATCTTCTTGATCATGTGGGCAGCATGACTAAATGCCAAAGGCGCACAGAACGCTGCTACCTTCCCATCAAAGGTGGCCCCTATTTTTCTACTTGCATTTTTACATTCTTTCAAACTTCTAGGTTGGCAGGAACTGGGACAAATAACAGGAGCTCACTCCATTATGTGGTGCTAAGGATTCAAACTCTTGAACTGCTCACCTTCTGATTGGCAAGCTCAGCATCTTAGCCACAGAGCCACCATGTCCTTAATTTTAACTATAATGGTGATTAAATCAACCCTTGTTAATCATGGCATCAGTAACATCATGGCAGCTATCGGGGATGGGACTCTTACCTTCCGGGAAACCTTCCCAGACTTCCAAACGATCATAACGGCAGAATGCACCTCCTGGAGGGTTTGTATCTGGCTCCAGTTCAAAGCTTTCAAATTCCAGGATAATCTCTGACATCTTTGGTGCAAAGATAATGTAAGTACATTCAAGGCTATTGGGATATTTTTCAGGGAATCCTGGTGATTTGATCATACCAGTCATAGATGTGAAGTTTCTGGAGCATTCTGGTCCTGCATCACAAAACAGACAACAACATATATAACCCCTTTTGTAAGAGCATTAAAATTAGCAAGAAAACAAATTATACCTCTTCTCTTAAAAAAAAAAGCAGCATGGCTTTTTGCCCCATGTTAATCCATGTATTAGTTGCATAGCAAACTTGTTCCCAATACTGATAATTGTGACTAAAATGCAAGTCCCATTTATTACATAAAGCCCATTTTTCTACCTGACCAAGCTGAAAAAGTAAACTTAGGCCAGTTCTGAAATAGAGGGAAAAATTATGATAATGTCACGTGGGAACAATGAAAGTGTAAACTCCAGAAATATTGTTAGCCCAAGAGAAATAATTATAGTCCCTTTAAGCTTAAATCTTTTCAACTCAGGTTGACAGCCCTTTATTGGTAAAACAGAATGTTTTCCAAGAAGAGGGAGTGTGGTGTTTGGTCTATGGAACAATGGTTTCATATTCCTAGAGTAGTGGCTCAGTAAGTCTGCCAGATGTGACCTATGCCTTCTTGACAAACTAGATGTGAAAGGTAATTCGTACTTGTATCAAGGGTGACTGATTCATTCTGAGCAGTGTTGACACAGGTGCACCAGTAAAGTGATGCTGTTAGTGAAGGTATGATAAATTCTTCGATTACTAGCAATGTTGATCAAATCTTACTAACTTCAGTATTGTGCAAAGCAATTCTATTATAGTGCTACAAACTTCTTACGTGGATGGGCAATGTCCATTGCCCCTGGGACTTCCATTTTTTTTGCAGAAGTAACTTCTTCTGATGCAATCACAATAGATGAGGAAAACAACTATCCTAAGCACTGAATCATATCCTGCAACATTGGTGCAGACATGTATACAGGAAGATGCCGTTTCTATAAGAAGCAGCAAGGAGATTTGAAAAAACACTTCCCCATATGGGAATGAATGAGAGTCTGTTTCCAAATTTCATTGCTATGAGGATAACTCCCTGCTGTGTTGCAAATTCCTTCCTTCCTTCCTTCCTTCCTTCCTTCCTTCCTTC